CAGAGACGGAACCCGAGTTTTGGTTTGCCACTTCCAGGGCAAATGCTGAGCTTTTGGGTAGAACTGGGCTATTTGCGCTATCCCTGCAACCACAGGCTCCCGAAGGAAGAGGGAGGCATCGGTGCGCGACAGCGTGGAGGCACCCTCCCTGGGGCAGCTGCGCATCAAGTGCCGCGTAGCGTGGCAGGAAGGGAAGGTGTGATGAGCAGAAGTGGGTCGCTGGCAGCAGCGATGCAGCTGTGCTCAGGGCCGCTGCCTTCCTGCAGCTCCAGCTCCGTCCCTTGCACAGGCGGCCCTGCTGCCTCCCCCAGGGCTTTGGGGCGTGCTGCGGGCCCTAGACTTTGTCACCGTTCGGTGTGCCAGGCCCAGCAGCTTTCCTTCTGCCTGTGGGGTCGGTGTATGTATTCACACAGGGGGTGGTTCTTTACCTGAAGGTGAACTTGGTGAAGGAGTCATCGACGGCACCGCTTCCCCAGGTGCTGTCGAGTAAATGCCACCTTCCGTCGAGGTAGACGGCGTTCCAGGCGTGGTCGGAGTCCCCGGCAAAGGTCTGCCCCATCTTGTACCCATAGCCCTTAGAGTATCCCGACAGCTTCATGCACTGGATTCCTGCAATGCTGAAAGGAAGGAGTGAGGCGCAGCAGGAGACTGGTGTTTCACACCTGCCCGCGCTCCTGCGTGGAGGGAGAAAGGGAGGAGCAAAGTCTGCGGAACCGCAATCCCACGGGCAAGGGGACCAGCTCCCTCAGCTCCTCGAGTGCCTCCCTGCAGCTGAGTCCCCGGGTTGGGGGTTTGAAACGTCTAAGTGCGCGCGTACTTCTCTCTGAAACTCCACCTTCTGACCCTGGTGACGGGCTGCTGTGCCTCGGTTATCGCGCTTTCAGTTCTCCGGAAAGCTTGCTCTTGGCTGGGGCGCTGAATTTTTGTTGGTAAGGGATCTCTGCACGTCGCACAGCTTTCCTCTACCTGCCTTCCCGTACCAGCCTGCCCGCACATCTGCAGGCAGGTTGTCCCCCTCGGCCACTGACGTCGCCTAGGGACTGCACCTTTCTGGGCTGCCCTAGTGAACGGCTTCCCGTGGGGTGGGCGTGCGAGAGCACCCCGGGGAGGGACGCCCGAGGTGTTGGGCAGGGGCCGTTTTCCCTTGTAGCCTTTGCACAGGGATATGGAGAGGGCATCCCGCTGGCTTTTCTCTTCCAGCTCTTTCATATTCCCTTTTTGTCTGATGCACCATCAATTCAGCGTCGTTAGGGAAGGGTGACAAAGATGAAGTGTGCTTAATTGCTCTCTGTCTTGTTACTCAGTGGAGTCCCTTTGATGCTGTCCACAATTAGCCCGTGTAATTATAAATTAAAAGTGCATCTGTTCATGCTTGCATTCTCCCTGTGATGGTAGGCCTGGTGTTTGACACCAACTAAGATATCTTAGACCTCACGGGATTGTGGAGGCTGATTTAGTTTCCTTGAAGAGTGAGCTTCTGCTTGCCCAGGGTACAAATGATTGAATACTCTCTGTTTCAAAAAAAATACCGAATACCTGTGCTGATGTGTAAGTAAGATTTCAATAAGCGCGGTGTTAATAAGCTCTCTGCGGTTGATAGCGATGGGTTCTAACACTGGCATCTTATTTCAGCGTTAATCTAAAATCGCTTCGCTGAGAGGATTGTCGTTTGTGTAGGATGGTATTGACATTTTTCCTCTCCATTGAAAAGTACATTAAATGGAACAGCTACCTTAAGTAATACACTGTGCACGCCTTCCAGAGCGAGATTGTCTGCCATAATGTGGGTTTAACTCGGAAGAAAAGGGATATTTATGGGGAAGATAATGAAGGCGGTTGTTAAGGAGTCAAGGTCTGGTAGCAGGCGCCGGCTGGTAACTGGCAGAGCAGCAGTGCTCGTGGGGGACTGCTTTTGTCACGGAGACGGTGCCGGCTGGAAGGGGAGGGCGTCGCTTCGGCTTCTCACACCGACTTGCTAAACCCAGACCTGGCCTTCGGGGCTGGATGCTCTGCCTTTAAACCTATCAGGTTCTTAAACTCCTTACGACAGTAGAGCCGCATCGGCAGAGGGCTGCGTGAGAGACAGCTGGGAGCTGCGGGGAGGAGAAGCGGGCAGCGCCGCGTCCCCGCGGAGGACGG